CAAGATCGTTACACAATCGATCAGGATTTTAGGTGTCAATTTCTTGCATTTCCTTCTGAAAATTTATATTTACATAAAATTTATTCGTTTAAAATATCATATATTGTTACAACGTGTTTGTCATAATTGGCGGATTGATATGTATCTTCTATTTCTTTAATATTTTCCTTTTCTATTTTTAGTTCTATTTCCAATTCAATTAAGAGCATTTACCTCTTTACTGTACTCTGCTTGTACGTGCGTTGTTCCATTTCCGTCAGTGTTGCAATTCGATCAAGGTGTCCATGATCCATGATTACAGGCATATGCTTGACCTTGCACGTGCTGTACGCGCGCGATCCCGCGGATCTGCCATTTCGCATCTCGCGCATCATCCGCTCGCAGCATCCACCAGCTTCTCTGGGATTATTTCCCCGAGTAATCTGATATCTGGTACAAACCATCACGTGTCGGCGACTTGCCATTATTGTGCGCATACGCTAAGGTCCAGTGCAACGAGCGGTGCAACAGCCAGATCCGTGATTCCTTTTGTAGCGTAACAGAGGAAGTATTATCCGACTTGCGTCTACTCGTGTACGTGTAATAAGTTTAATCGGCTCTTTTAAAAATGCAATCCAATGATGGAAGAGATGGAAATAATAATATTCGGGAATATTGGAAATACGCAAATTAGAAACACGCTTGGCTTCGCGAAATACTTGCTTCGCGCCAATCTCACTACCACTATGTTCGGCTCGCAGGAGCGAATTTAATGTGAAATCGCAAATTGATACTTTGATAGCGTTAATATAAGAGGCAATATTTCACGTGTGAGCGCGCGCGAGTATGTACACGACTTAATAAGCATTACGCGTATTAATGCCGCAAAACTCGCCGGACTGCGTCCTACCGCAACACCTCTGAAAAATATGACGTATTGCCGAGAGAGTCATTCACTCGCGCTTGAATATTAACGAGCGATTTGTGTCGCGCGGCTGGATTTACGATAATTCTGCCGGCAGAGAGAGAGAGAGAGAGAGAGGAACATCGCGATTTATCGTCATTGTCCGCATGTTCTGCCCGCAATGCACCGTTATATTTCAGTACGTGCGTCGCACGATTGCCCTTTACCCTAAACACAAAGTATACCGCAAGTAAATACCTAAATACTTAAA